TTTCAGCGACGGATCAGCGAGGGAATTTTCCCTCGCTGATACCCAGCATTTTTGTAGTGATAACTCGAGTTCGTATCTAAATTCTTGTGTTTTTGCTATTATATTTTGTTGTAATAAATCTATAAAACATACTTATAAAATATATAAGTTAGAATCGATACAAAAAACATAAACTTATGATTAACAATGTATTTTTATTTATTTTGTTGCATTTTTCATTTTCTTGTAACTTTTTACACAATTTTTTGGATTTTGTTTTAATAAGCTTTATCTTAAATAAGCACATACATTATTTAATTATCCACAAAAATAAACAACGTATGTAATTATTTTATTATATTATTATCTTCAGATTACTTTTCAAATAATGTCACTCTCTCTCTCTCTCTCTCTCTCTCTCTCTCTCTCACACACACACACACACATATATATATATATATATATATATATAACCTAATAAATTGAAAAACAATTATAAAAATATATTCTATTTTTAAAAAATATGTCAAAATATCTTTATATAGATGACATCATATATACTCATATCTCACACTTTTTTTAAAAAAATTTAAAAAAAACATTGAAAATCAAAAAGGTCTCAAATTCACGCAAATTCTCCACACAATTTTTAAGACCAACAAATTTCCCAAAATTTTCTTTTATTCCACAATATTCTCAAAATTTCCCCAATGTTGCTCAATCTCAAATTATGTTACAGCAATTTATTTAGTGCTACTTTCTTTAGGGATGAATATTTAAGTAATGCTGCATTTTTTAATTACAGTATAAAAGTATATGTTGTAATTGTTTTTTTTTAATATATTAACAAAATATATAAATTAACAAATTAAGATTGATATGACAAAATGAAAATTGATAGATGTATTTTAAATTTTGTATTAACAATTTTATAATACATATACATACAGACACATATAAATATATAATTAAATTTATATAATAATATAAAAAATTATGTTCTATAAATGAAAATGGAGAGTGAGGTTCATATAAGAACCTCCCTTATAGAATTTTATTGAGACTTTTATTATGTTGAGGTGGCGATGATGACATGAAAAAGATGGAAAGTAAGGTGCTTGTAGGAGTTTTATAAAGGTTGTTGCTTCAAATCATAAACAGAAAATGTAAAATATAAGTCTTAATGTTAATGTATGTGAGAGAAAAAAATAGTAGATAAGCGTTTATGTAGCCTACCCACACTTAATAGGATTTTAATTTTACTGTGTGTCATATAAAATGATGTTATAATAACTAATTGTTTGAACAAAATTAGACGACCCAACATGTTTTATCGAGAAAGTTGACTAACGTTCACAAGAAATAATTGCTTACATGTGATGTAATATATAATTGTGTTATTAATTTTAGGAGTTCATGGTTGTTGTGCTAAATATTTGTTGTAGAGGGTTCATTTAGAAATTTTGGAAAGTGGCTTGATAAAGCCTCCCTTCCCTTTTATTTTATTTTTTCCAGATGAAGTGTGAATTAAGTGTTTCTGTGTTTTAACCGTTAAAAAAAAAGGTCTGGGATGAGTTTTAAGAGAAATTCTTAAGGAGCGTAGCTTGCAGTTTATTTCATTCTTAAAGAATAAAGGTATGAATCCATTCTTTATACCTTCAAAGATAGGGTTTTATTATTTTTATTGACCAGGGAGATTTTGGTCTACGATTTTGCGTATTTGAGGTTTATTGTTTAAATTATTTGATGAAACTTCTTCTAGAATAAGAGTTCATTTGTTAGTCTTTTTATTTGAAAATTTGTTTAATGGTTACCTAATTGTCTTCTTGGTATGAACTTAAGTTAGTGGATTAATTTGTTTTATGATTTGGGAGTAGTCTTTTGATTTGGAAATCTTTAGGGTCTCATGTGATTCTGCTGCCGATAGTGATTGCGATCACTATTGTGGATAGTTGTCTTGTGGGATGTAGTCTTGTGACCCTACATTGTTCTTACTTGATATATTTGTTTTGTATTAAAGATGGTGTTGTTGGTTTTGCATTGACAGAGAAACTCAATAGACTATATGATCTAAACCTCTTTTTGTTTTTTAAATATACGCTTTGGGGCAACTTCACTTGAAGGCCACATAAAAGGGTAAAATGTGAACTTGTTCGTTGCTTCTTGTTAGAAGTCAGAGAGTTGAATTTTGAACTATTTTCTCTCATTGAAATTTTTTATATGCATGAGTTTGTATATGGTATGTATATGTACTTTAGCATATATGTATGGTTTAGCTTTTTGAGGACCTTGTATTACTTTTTGATTATGTTTATATGTAAAACCTTATTTGTATGAACTTTTTTGGAGTTAGCGGTAGTTGTTTTTGCTATAAATATTTAGCACTTTCTGTACGACATCAAATGTCAGATTTTCACTGATCATAAGCATCTTCAACATTTGTTTGATCAAGTGTTTTGGTGACTTTCATCCTATAATAGATATCAAGGGGATTTCTCACTTAAACCTTATGATCTAACCCTCGTTTTGTTTTCAAAAATATGCATTACAAGTCGGGCACATGTAGGAGGTAAAGGGAAGGGAAAGATGTGAAGGGATTTGTTAATGCTTTTCGTCTGTGGATTTTTGGGAAGCTGAATTAATACATAATTTGTGAATATGTGTTAATCAAGTCATGTATTTATGTGAGCAAAAAGTTTCTAGTTACTTTTGTATGTAACAATACATGTACATTTGGGACCAATATGTAATATTATATTTCATGTTATATGAAATATGTGAATTTTATGCAAAATGGGAGTTGAGGTGTTATATAACCCATGAATGTGTTTATGTAGTTTTATTGTTAACATTGATTGCAATAATCTTGTTAATATAATTTTTGTAATCATAGGTAATGAATAATGATTAACTGATTTTATATAATTATGATGTTTCAATTCCAGTTAGAAAATGTGAATCACATATTTTAAAACGTTAAAAAGAAAAAAAAATGAACAGTTTTTATTACAAGTTAAAAAGGAGTTATAGCTTGATCTATCATCAAATAGACTTCAGAATATAATAAAAAATAATTTAATAAATGATATAACTAAAAAAAATTAAGGGGCAATTTTGTTTTACGTACAAGACGTGCAAAATATCATGACCGACCTTGTAAACACATCACTATGAATGTTTGAAGATTACAGATGGAAAGAAGCTTTAAATAGGCAACAAAAAAATGAAAATTTATTTTTTTCACAATAACTTCATTTATGAAATGCTTATATTTATTAACACTTACACTTTGATTTAAAACGTTAATAATTTCAAAATACATAGAAAATAGATGTGTTGGCATACAAATAAATTATTTTATACTAGCGAATATATATATATATATATATATGGTATATTTCAAATGCAATCATGTCCATTTGTATAACTAATGCAATTCAATCAATCGAAATATTTATGAAAATGATGAGAGTTCATTTATTATAATTTGAATATTTATAAAAGATGATTAAAGTTAATTAATTATGATTAACACTTTATATTAGAAAATAATCAAAACTTTTATGAAGTACATATTAATAAATAAAATGGACGGTTGAAAATGAGTTGTATTGGTTGTACAAATGTAAATGGTTGTATAATAACTCACCTCTCTCTCTCTCTCTCTCTCTCTCTATATATATATATATATATATATATATATATATATATATAATAGATGTGTTGGCATACAAATAAGTTATTTTATACTGACAAACAAACACACACACACACACACACACACATATATATATATATATATGGGAAGAATATTTTGCAAACCAAGTCATTTGTATAAACGTGAAAATTGTCGATTTTATTGTTTATTTTAGTGAAATTTTTTTATGAAATTGTTTAATATGTTGTTTCAAATAATTATGGACATTATAATTTTCATTCTATTAATTTTAATAAACAAATTTCATCAAAATGGGAATTATATGAAACAATTTAATTTTTACATAGAAACAAAAATATATGAAAACATTTTCATCATGAAATGAATTATTTGAAACAATTACATCATATTAAACAATTTTGTGAAAAAAATTCACTAGAAAACAATGAAATCGACGGTTTTTATAATTTGTTCAAATAGTTTGGTTTGCATTTTTATTCTTTCTATCTCTCTCTCTAAATATATTGTAGTAATATTTAAAAAATATCAAAGTTTTCACATAAATATTTTATTTATATACACGTTTTTGTCAGATTTATTTAACATATTTTTATCATAAACTTAAACTCAAATACTCGGTCAATAATCTCCGATTTTAGCGTATAAAATAGTATGTGATTAAATATGTCATTGGACAATTGTAGTTGTTTTGTACCTTTCAAATATTTATTTAACGATAAAATACTTTTATTAAACTATATACTATATTATATAACATTTGAATAAAGCTATTAGAAACAACTTTATAAACCTTATGTACTGCTATCTAATGCTAATTAC